AGGGCTTTACCGTATTAACAGGAGAAGAGGAGCAAGGGAAGTTAGACCTCTTTGACCGTTTTCCTTCCTGACACGCCTGATTGATAGACTGTGAACGGGACGCCTCTCCATGCGTTTTACTTTCCTCAGATTTCAGAACCTCACAGCTGTTCTAAGCTGCAGACTTTATGTTCTGACTGAATAAACGAGTAAAAGCTGCAGATGTGAAGGATGAACGAAGCACCAGGGAGTGTGTTGTTCCCTCCTCTGCTCACTGTGACCTTCCCCCTGGGCTGCTGCTCCTGCCACCGCCTGATTCAGAGCGCAGCAGACATGTTCAGCCACACGCTCACTTCTCCTTCAGTCAGATTCACCTTAAACCTCTGAATTAGGCTGACCGCCGGGGAGGACACTGCAGGACGAGACCAGACTGTCCGACTGGTCCCAGAGCAGCTGGACGCAGAGACGGCGGCTGCTTGGAACTAACTGAAAACATAAAAAACTTTGGATAAATTCAGGTCAATCCCTGGTTTTGGTTTTATGCAGTAAACAGTAAATGATGGAGAGCTGTTGACCGACTCTGTGGTGTGAAATGAAGTGAAGGTTAAGATGTGGAGGCTGGATTATTGGCTTATTCCAGTCTGAGCTGGGATTTCACTGGGATTTCTGTTCGTCCAGAAATGATTCAATTCTCCGTTTTCCTTGTTTTAAACTGACTGTTTCTCTGCCTGCTGAAGCTTGCAGCTCAGAGACGCAGTGGAGCCGTTTTTAACAGCTTTTCCCACGTCTGTGACTCTGTTTTCACCAAACATGAAGCCAGTTTCTTTAGTTGCATGGTTTTACAATTAAAACTGCTGCTTCAGGGATGCTGACTGTTGGGTCCTTGAGTCCTGATCTGAGCTGCTAGCTTAGGTCTGATCTTGTATTGGTTCGCTTTAGGGCTGCAACTAATTATTCTTTGGATTCATAGATTAATAATCTTACAGAAAAATGTTTCTTAAAGAAGGTTTTTTACTCGAGGACTTCTGGATAGAGCAGATTGACAGATGAAAACATTTTTTTATTTTAAATGCAAAATGTTTATATATATTTTTTTCCGATTTTGATATAATTGCTGCTCTAATTGCGTCGCTCTGTCAGCTAACGACATGTTTTAGAGTCTTCATACTCCAGTTAACACTGGAAAATGATCTAGAAATGAGTAAAAATGTCTTAAATTAAGTTTATTTACCCTTATTTTTAGTAGGTAACTGAGATTTACCAATGGAATGAGTATTTTTACTCCTAAAATAAGATAATTAGATGATATGCACTTGAAATAAGGCAATGCAATTGTGTTTTCTTATTTCAAATGTAAATTGTCTTGTTCTATTGGCAAAATGTCTGTTTTACCTCCTCAATCTAAGAACAAATGCACTTATTTTAAGAAAAAAATGACTTATCTAGATTTTGATTTTTTCCAGTTAAGGATTAATCTTTTACTAAATTAGTTGACGATTATTTCAATAATCGTTTAACCCGATTAATTGTTTCAGCCCTAATTCACTTCATGTCTAAACTTTTCTATTTCTGCTAATTGAAACAATTTTGGTTTTGGATGAAATCTATTAAACTGTCTTAAAACAACCAGTATGGTAGGAAGTAGCTTTTCTTTTGGATTCTGGTTCTGTTGCAGTTTCAGGGCTGCAGAAACTCCCAAAATATGTCTTAAATTTGCTGTATTTTTTTCCCCCCTTCAATGACAACATTTGTATTTTTCAACAAAAGAACAATTAGAAATCCTACTCACTCATTTTAAGCCTCTTTCCCACTGAAAATACAGTGTTAACGCTGGTTTTTCCAAACATGGTCGACGACGAGCATTTAGCTCCCTTCCCATTGGCAGTAGAGAACTGCTAATAGAGAAGACTTTGGCTCCAAGGATTGAATTTGCCAATAAAGTTGGACTCTGCCTGCCTGAATTCACACCTTGGCCAATTCAAACTTCTGTTTACTACAGTCTGTTGATTTCATGTTAATGTGGATTTAAAGACATTTCAATTTGAAAAAATTGCAGGAGGGAATATAAAAAAAAAAGTCTAATCAACCAAAGCTTTGACAACCGCTATGCAGTACCTCTGTGGACCTCCTAGGGGTCACGGACCCCCTGTTGAAGACCTCTGATTTAGAGGATAAGTTAGCGTTTTTGATCCCTTGCATACCTCATAGAAATGGAGTCCCCTCGTCCCTCAGTAAGGTCTAGAAGCACAAGATCTATATCCAGCCGTTCAGCATAGATCCTTTTACATCACTGTACGTCTTATTTTGGCAATTTCACCAAATTGCCAAAATAAGTTGGAAAATTAAGTCAAGACAAAAAGGTAAAAATTTAGTTAAAAAGTTAATAAGCTTATTAAACAATTATATTTAACTTTATTAACTAAAAACATGTGCCACTATCAGCATTAATGTTATGTTGGAACAAAAACGTTTTTTTCATGAATTTCTTTTGTTATTTTTCTTAATATATTTGGCAAGTCGGCGTTTCTTGTTGTTACATTGATTTTCATTTTTTCCATTAAAATCTCCATATTTTTTGATTGTTCCAAAGCTAATAAGGTTTTGTCCTGGATTCCAATAAAACTATTGGCTGGAAATGTTGATTTTCAAAGTATTTCACTGATTCGTCTCTAAAGCGTTAAAGCTTTGATCCAAACGTCTCTAACAGAAGGAAGTTCAACATCCTGCACATGTTTTTCTGTTATTTTCATTTTAGATTCTACAGAACATGAACCTTTAATGGTTTTCTGCTGTTTTTTTCTCTGTGACGGTAAAGTTCTCTCTAACAGATGCAGACATTTTGCTCCTGATGTTTCACAGCTCTCCTCTTCTGTTTTTTTCCTGTCGTTTCCAGTCGTGGAGGATCCTGCTGTTCGGAGCGCTCAACCTGCTGTGTACCGGCTGTCTGCTGATGTGGTGCAGCTCCACCAACAGCATGGGTGAGCACATCTACAAGCAGCAACAGTCTGACGTACAGGGACTGACAGAGTCCCCGTCTTTGAGACGCTAACTGGTGCAGAAACCTGTCCACACACAGTAAACACAGATTGACAGCCGCACACATCCCTGTCTGTGTGTGCGCGCTGTAAACAGGCGTCCGCTCGGGTGTTTAGGAGCGCCGTTCGCTGCGGCGTTCGGACCGATCCGCCTGCTGCTCGGCGGCGACGTGTTTCCGTTGGTTAGCTCGGTCCAGAGATCCTTCGCTGCAGCTCTTTTCACCTTCAGACCAGCCGTCTGTCATATTGACAGACACCAACACCAGCTCGCTGCCTGAAGCCGCATCAGACTCTGATCTCTGAGAGGAAATCCTCCAGCTGAGGATGTAATGGTTCAGACAGGAAACCAGTACGTTCCTCTCAGCTCTGGAGGAGCAGCAGCTTCTTTCTCATCTCCCTCAGATGATGGATCAGTCTTTCTCTAACAGGCAGTAACTTCTGCTGCTTGGATCCAGGATCTCCTGAGCTCAGGTTCGGGTATAAAAGCACACAGACCCGCGTTTCTAGAGCTCCACTGATCTCTATTTATTCCCTGGATCGCTGATTGCCCGCTGGTAGTGAAGCCATCGGCTGCCATGTTGGTACTCCCAAGTTGAACCGGCCGCAGTGTAAACAATCCGTGCGCTACAGCATCAAACAACCACGATGTTGTCTTTTTCACGAGGGAGTTAATATTTTAAAAATAGATACATTCATCACTTTGACACAGACTGGAAAAAATCAAAAACTAGAGAAGTCATTTTTTTTCTTAAAATAAGCGCATTTGTTATTGGATTGAGGAGGTAAAAGCGACACTTTGCCAATAGAACGAGACAATTTACATTTAAAATAAGAAAAAACAATTGCATTGCCGTGCAAATTACCGTATCTAACTTTCTGGTTTTAACAGTAAAAATACTCATTCTATTGGCAAATCATCTCATTTATCTACTCAAAATAAGGGTAAATACACTTAATTTAAGAAATTACTACTTATTTCTAGACTGTTTTTTTCCCAGTAGATTACTTTACTTATAATAAAATAAAAAGGCACGTCACATATGGAGTCTATGAAGTCTATACATCATCTAATATAACATATTATATAAACCCATCACAATAAAATGAATGTATTAATGGAGCAGAATAATACAGATGAGCCCAAAGAGCTAAATCAATGATGTAGATGTAATATACATGGGTTAATTATATTTTTATGGTAATTACATCTTACATTTTATTGAAAGATTTTACATAAAGACTGAATTAAAAATACACACTGAAAAAACAATCTAGAAATGATCAAAAATGGATTAAATTAAGTGTATTTACCATTAATCTGAGTTGGTGATCTGCCAATGGAATGAATATTTTTACACTTAGAATAAGATAATTAGATAATATACACTTGAAATAAGACAAAGCAATTGTTCTTTCTTATTTTAAATGTAATTTGTCTCGTTCCTTTGGCAAAATGTCTCACTTACCTCCTCAATTAAAGAAAAAATACACTTATTTAGATTTATTTTTTCATCAATCTAACATTCAATATATTTTAACACATCATGACTTTTTCAAATGAGAAATAAAGCAAACTTTCCAAAAACGACATCATCATCCACTGAATAAAGATTTACTACATTAACATCTCAGTGAATTACTTTCTATTTTCTATTTTCTAACGTTAGACCCAATATCAGTGTCTAACTCAGAATGTCTTCCAGTCAGTCTGAGACTAACGTTAGTCTACAGACTAATGTTAGTCTGCAGACTAAACTATAGGATCCATCGGCTATAGATGGATTTATTGCTTAGTTCATCCACTGACTGGGAAATGACCAGTGGAACGTCTTCCTGCAGACAGAAAACTGCTGGTTTTAGCAGCCAGATGCTGCAGGGAGGCATTTTCTGCACATCTCTGTGGGAGTGGGAGTACCAAGATGGCGGACGGTGGCTTCACTTTGTTCGGGCACTCAGGAATCCAGTGAATAGAGCTCAGTGTTCAGATCCATCAGTCTGTATCCCTCTGCGATGAGTTTAGACTCAGATTAAGGCCTAAACTCCCCCTGCCTGGAGGGGGCGCTGTAGCTTTTTCTTCTTCAAGCTTCTAACTTGTCTTCAGCTTTCAGAAGCTCCTGGTTCGTCATGAAACCAGTGTCGGCTCCAGATCAGGACATCTTTCAGCTTCGCTGCATCCAAACATGTCCAAGTTTGCTGCTGATCAGTAATTATGGGAAAGTTTCAGCTTTCAGAACGTCTGAAGCTCTGAAATATTCAGATTTCCTCCTCCTCATTATTTCCCTGCCTTCTGCATCATGTGAAATAAACTAGATTAGGGTGAAAAACGATTCAGATGTGACAGACCTGTTAGAGGAGCAGCGTTTCCAGGGTCCGTCTGCTTGTTTGTGTGCATCACAGAGTAGTTTAACCGTAAACATGTAGATATCAGCGCCGCCTGTCCCGCCAACACTCAGCCGCGCAGCCAGACGACACCAACCTGAGATCCTCCCAGGGACCCCGTCGCTCAGGAAGGAAGGGACGATGTGAAACCTGACCCGAGCGCGCCGTCTCTGCCTGCAGATGCTGCAGAAAAACACGCAGACAGATGCAGTCGCAGGGGTGGCGTCGGGTGTCGCTCAAGCAGGAAGCGGAGAAAGGAGTGATCGAGCGGTGGAGGAGAAGGCAACACCGCTGTCGATACCGGGTCAGGATGAGACGGCGGCCCGGTACCTCAGGATCCTCCGGTCCCGCCCCCCTGTAAGCTGGACTCAGACGGAAAACGCTGGATAGGATAACAGATGACAGCTGCCCTCTTTTTAGTTTTAAGGATGCTAAGGAAACGGTGCGTTCACTGAAAGCTTGGAAAATCTGAATTTCAAATGTCTGCCATGGAAAATATGGTGACTAAACTAGGGCTGGAATCGGATGAATCGTTAACTGGAGTATAGAGACTGTAAAATATTCTGTACCTGACAGACTGACCCACTTAGAGCAGGAATTATACCAAAATATAAAAAAAAATTAAGATAAACCTTTTTCTTCGTCAATATTTTCTATCCAGAACTCCTCCAGTGGAAAAGTTTTAGTTTTCCCTGGTTTAATTTTGTAACAATTCTTCTTCAGGAACCTTTGGTTATCCGATTATTAATTAAAAAAATAATAGACAGAAAAATCCATTCGTAAAAAAAAAAAAACGTTAGTTGTAGTAGTTTAAACAGAAATTCCAAAAACAATCTAGAAATAAGTCAAACATTTAAATTAACTGTATGTAGCCTTAATTTGAGCAGGTAAATTAGATGACTTGCCAATGGAAGTTTTTTTTACTGATAAAATAATATAATTAGATGATTAGAAAATAAAAGGACTGGACTTTGTTTCCAAGTTTGTGTGCATCACTCAGAATGGTCCAGGGTTCCCGCGGGTCCTTAAAAAGCCTTAAAAGTCATTGAATTCTTTAAAATAAAACCAAGGCCTTAATTGGTATTAAAATGTCTTAAATCAGTCTTTCGTTGGTCTTAATTTTTAAACCATCATAAACAGGATCATTTTTATTACGATTTATTTTTGTAATCTTAATAAAAGATTTTTTATTAAAAAAAAAATAACGGCTTGCCATTATTGGTTCCGTCCTACGGAGCCCCCTAGGGGACATTAGGAAAATTTTTTTGCTTTTGTGTTCCCACGCAAAACCTTTTGCATGAAAACGCAAAACCTTACTTCAGTAAAGTTAGAAAGATATTCACAGATTCGGACTCCCGGGATCAAGAACTCTCGTTGTTGAAACACAAATGGCGCCTCTTTCATGTCCTGATAGCACAGACTACGTATTACAAGAACCAAAAGGCGTTATTTTCGAGGAAAACGAGCCGTTCTCCGAGCTGGATGTATTACATTGATCTCTATGCACAGGCAGCGGCCAGGCGAGTGGTTAGGGACCGTCTGCAAATGTTAAAACAGCAAAACGTTGAAAATAAAAATCAATAACTCCACCGCCATAAAGTGCAGAGACTCCAAAATGACCGAACACACCAAGGGGCTCCTGGTGATCGAACTACAACAGCTGGTTTGGAAAAATACACCTTTACTTTTTTTTTTTAGATTTTTTTGTTTTGCGAGGGGAACGCAAAAGAAAAAAATATTTCCAATGTCCCCTAGGGGGCTCCGTACCGTCCCGATAGCGGAACCAATAAAAGCGTTGTTGCGGCCGGGACATTTGGGAGATGC